CCTTGATTGCTGACGTGGCAGGGGGGATACTGACTTGTTGTTGTTTCCCTGCTGACGCGGCTTGATTGAAGTCGTATCTGGGGGCCAGATTGGCTAACGTGGCACCCCCCTCTTGATTGATTGATTACTTGATGGTGACGTGGCAAGTGTTGTGTGCTTGCTGAGTTGGCATTACCGGGGTGTTACGTGATTGGCACGTGTGTGCCTGGGTGGGAGGATCATTCTGACGACAAAGGCGGTAGAACTAATTGAATAGTTGTAGTGTCAGCTGTCGCAGCAGGGTGATTGTTGCTTTGATCAAGACTGACGCAGGGGATTATTGATGCTAACATATTGATTGTTGTTGATGTTGGCTTGTTTTCCCTGTGTCGTTTGTCTGTCCTGTGTTGGCATACTCACCTGTGTGTATCTGGTCATTGTGTCCGGATCGGTACCTGCAAAAGCACGTCATCACATTGAGTTAGATAAATAAGAACAGCGAAGAAAAAGAAAAAGAAAAATAATTGAAAATATTCTGGAGTTATTTTTGTTGTCATTTGACCTTGCAGTAATCTACTATTAGGAAACTGTGGGGCCGCGAAATTAATTATTGTTTATTTTTGTTTATTGTGCGGTAGATACCCCACACTGAAATGTCTCATGAAGAGACTGTTCAGACCCCAGTTGAGGGCCAGAGTGTTGAGCAGCTCCCTGACCCTCGTACCAGGGCTCAGGTTGAGCAGAGACGACAACTGTTGTCTGGACGGCTCAACCTTTTGGCCACTGAACTGCACGATGCCGGTGCAGAGGCTGAGTCACATGTGAGGGCCCAATTTGATCTATGGAAAGCCCAGGCAGACCTGGATGCAGCTCAGACTGGCACCGACCTATTGAAGATACAGGGGTTCATTATCCAGTGTCGTAAAGCACTGGATGCGCACATCTGTCAGCAGTTCGAAGACATAGCAAATGGCAGAAATGCCAAAACTGATGTGATGGTCACGGAACAGACAATTGATGAGAACATCTGCCAATTGGAAGAAGCTCTTGAAAAAGAGAAAACGCGCAAGGCGGAAATGCTAAAGAAGAAAGAACAAGATGAACAGCAAGCAAAACGAGAACAAGAAGTCAGACAGCATGTGGTAACTGTGTCAGGGGAAGAACAGGTTGTGGCATTGAACCAACTGGTTGAGTACCTCGCTCACTTGGAGACAAGGCTCGACCATTTTGAAGCAAAGTTGGAAGAATTGACCGTAGGATTGAAGAATGTGACTAACTTGGTCAAAGGAAAGGAAAAAGAGGTTCGGAAGGAACAACCTGTGAAGAAACTAATGGGTGATGCTATGAAAGATCTCAGGGTCGAAGTAAAGAAGGGGGAACCATCTGGGCCTCCTCCACCGACACCACCACCATCCAGTCCTCAACCATCAGGAGGAAAGAAAGATAAAGAAGAGAAAACTGAGAAGCCAAAGAAGAAGGAAAAGGTAAAGATGAAATTGCCTTTCACATTCAGTAATAAGAAGGATGAAAACTTATTACTGTGGATTGCAGAAATACAGACTTAGGTCGGGACGACTCCTGTGGAAGAAGAATCACAGGTCGCCTTCTCCACGTCGTGTCTTGGAGGGAAGGCCAAAGAGTGGGTCCTGGCCGAAGCTAACGCAGCCGGATTCGATGATATTGGTAAGTGGGCCGGTACGATGACCCTGAAACAGTTCCTGGACAAGATCCGGGAACGTTTCCTTGACAAGACAACGGCCGATAAGGCCTTCGATCAGCTCACTACCATAGGTCAGAAACATTGGACATCTGTGGAGGCGTTGTCCCGTGAGGTCGATCGATTGCTGCAAGTATCGGGCTTAAATCTGCAGGATGATCAGGTCCTGTATATTTATGCCCGGGCCTTACCTGAACCTATAAGAGGTCAGTTAGTGGCCGAGTCAAAGTCAGGTAAGTACAAGTACCGGCAGTTTCGTGATTTGGCTCTCCAGAGAGAGCAAATGACTTCTCAAGTTAAACAGTCGTATGCATCTGTGGTGAAATCTGGTGGTGCAGGTGCAGGTGCGAGATACGGTAAGCGAGTCCTTTGGCGCCAAAAGCGTCAGGACCACATGCTTGTCGTCTTTGACGACGACACAGTGGAGAAGCTACCGTTAGAAGAAGAAGGAGTTCCCAGCAGCAGTGAGTCCGGAAAGGGGGACGTCACTGCTGCCGTGGTCAACAAAGGAGGACCACGAGCTCCGTATCGAGGGAGGAAACCACGCTCGTTTCCTACGCACCCAGGCATCGCGGCATTCAAGCCGTGGGAAAAGATGGAGATTGACCAAAAGACCTGGCAGGATAGGATGGACAATGCGCAGTGCTTAAAGTGTGGAAAGGAGGGACACATCATTGCATGGTGTCCACTCATCCGACACCCAAAAGCGAGCCGCTTGTAGGAGTAGCATCTGGTCCTAATGAGTTGAAAAAGTCAGATGATGAGAAAGGTAAGGCGCCTACTAACCCTTTCGCTTCTTCGACTCGCGTGGCAGAGGATGGTTGTCCTCCGGCCCATCATCCAGATCACCCTGAACCTGTCTTATGTTTTGTCTCTCTAG